TATAGTTATTTAATAAAACAAATAAAATAGAATAATATAAAATAAAATTAATAAAAGAAATAAAATATCAAAATGTTACTATCTTTTAAAATATGTCGCGAAAAGGAACTCTCTTTTCTCCCTCTTGCTATCACTACTTTTATATTTTTCTCTCATCATTTCTTTCTTCCCATCATTTCCATCATTCGTACTCCATTATTCCCATCATTCGTACTCCATCATTCCCATCATTTGTACTCCATCATTCCCATCATTCGTACTCCATCATTCCCATCATTGTGCAACCCCATCATTTTCATCATTTGTACTTCATTATTCTCACGCCACACATTTTCCACACTCCTATCTTCATACCACCTTACCGATCCTTCGCCGTTACCACAATGGCTATGATGTTAAAGCATTTGAATGGTATAAAAAGGCTGCAGAAAATAATGAGCAAAGTAATATTAATAATAAGAGCCAATATTCAACTGGGACATGCTTTTATTTTGGACGTGGAACTGAGAAAGATATTATAAAAACTATTTACTAGATGAATAAAGCAAAGGAAAATGGAAATACAAATGCCAAACTATTTTTAGAAAGAATAATTGATAAAATGAACAGTGAAAATTTTATATTTATGGAAATCGCTTCAAGTTTCAAGTAGAAAAAATTACAAAATTCATATCAGATTTACCAATTCATGTGATATGTAACGAATCTACTAATTCGTTTTAGAAAATAAATATCAACAAATATTTATTAGCGAAGTTTGTGGTATATAATTAAATTATTTTACAAGACTTGCTTGTATCTTTATTAATCATATGTTATATTTATATAAAAGTACATAAATAATATTACATAGTATAAATATATAATAAATAATATCTTAGGTCTTACAAGACCAATCCGGATGGTTACATATGATAATAATATAATAAGTAAAATATAATAAAAAGAAATAAAATAGAATAAGATAAATGATTAACACATGGGATTGCAAATATATTGTATATCAAACTAATCACATATGTTATCATTTGTTATCAAAATACAAAGATAAAAATATAAATAATAAAATAGAAAATAAAATAAGATAAGTATAATAAAATAGAAAATGAAATAAAGTAAATATAACTGCGTAGAGGATGTGACAACGAAACTGTTACATGATAAGTTAGATAAAGCGTACATGATTTGACAAAAAAAATGCTAACTTGGCGAAAAAATATTTGCCCTTGTAGCAGCTATAGATTCGACGTTACATATATAAATATAATCAGTAGTGCCGTTCCTTCAAAGATCACGAATTTTGTGAAAATAAGCCTATGACATCAGCAAAATCCTTCTAAGTAATAACATGATCGTGATAATTGTTACTTTAAGGATCCAACCGTTAAAATGAACCATTTGAGGGTGAATTAAATAATCTATACAAAAAAAGACCCATAAATATTTTAGTGAACATGTTGATTTAGTTTGGAAAGGTTGTTATCTCAAGGAATTCACGTAAAGAAAAACTGAAAATGAAGCGTAAAACAGGCGACGCAACTTTCGATATGCAATTAGACCAATTAAAATTAGTAAGGTAGAATATATGATTATTTTTATTTTTCATCCATTCCAAATCTTTAATCATAAAGAAATTGAATTAGCAACTTTGAAAAATAAACACATTTGCAGTTTACATAATTTATTTAATTATTAAATAAGATAGAATTTTGAATTTAATATTTACGACTTCGACTGATCAAAAAAAAAAATTTGAGTTAATGTTATTTTGATAATAATATTTTAATAATATAATATAAATTATTTTTTCATTCCTCATTTAAAAATATGAATTATGTTTTTGTGTGTGAAATTAATATATATTGTCAATTTTAATAAATATTCAATACTATGTAGTTAATAAATTTATTACAGTATAAAATTAACTTTGCTTTAATCTTTTCAGCTTCTTTTATATTGATCTTTTTAAAATCATGCTCCTTCTCTCTTATCATCATAATTTAATTTTAATTATTTAATTAATTAAATTTAATATCGATTTAACTTAAATTTCACTTGGTTTTCAAAAAATGATTACAAAATATTTCTCTTTTCTGAATTTTTATTAATTATTATTATATTTATTATCTTAATTAATTAATTAATCGATATTACGCATCAATGTGATATATGCGTTCAAAATTTATATTAAAGAAAGAATGCATCAATTCCTTTATCTTCTCAAATTGCATGCATTAGAGAATTCATCATGGATTGATAAAAAAGAAATCCCATATACAGAAAATGAACTATATGATTTTAAATTACTTTTTAGAGGATCTAGAGACGGTTTTGATGTTAGTACTATTTATAATATTTGTGATCAAATATAATATACAGTTATTGTTTTAAAAGTCGAAGGTGCTGGAGAAATTCTTGGAGGGCATAATCTTCTTGAACAGGATTATACTAATCAATATAAAAATACACAAAGAAGTTTTGTATTTTCATTGAAAATGAAAATATGGAAAATTCCTTTTTAAATAGGATAGTAAAGAAATTTGGTTATGCTACTTATAATTATCCTAAGGATTCATGTTTGTCTTTGGAGATGCTTTACATTTAGTGGGTAATGTGAATACCGAGAAAAACGTTTTTGTAGAGATGATGCATCACATCCTATACCAATTCGTCCTGGTGAATTTATACTTCCTTATATGTGTCTTGCGTTCAAGGCTTACGAGAAATGTTTTTTTTTCAGTTGAGAATATGAAGTTTTTGAAATATTATTTAAGTAGCATGTATACTTTTTTTTTTGTGGAATAATATGTAATAGTATTAAATTATTTTCGAGTATACATTCATATTTGAAGTTTTTAAATAAAGTATTTTTTTTTATTTTTATCAGAGTAAATTGGGCATGCAAATTGATAATAATTCATTGAAAAATATATGCTTTCATAAAATTTTGGAAAGATTTATCACGTTATAAAATTACTATTATGAAAGAATAAACTTATGTTGCCAATGAAACTAAAGAATATTTAGACTTTAAATAATACAGTTAATAATAAAATGGGTAATAAATAAATAATAATTATAATAAGAAATTTATTTTTGATTCTAATTGCAAATTTAATTTTTTTTGTAAATACATGAACAATTATCTTGCACATTTTGCGAAACATCATAAATTAGAAAGGCTAATGATAATAGTACAATATATTTATTTATTTTCATAAAAATACAGTTACATAATTCATATAGAAATAAAGATTCTTAAAAATATGATAAATGGATTGATCCAAACAATTTTAATTTAACGACATTGAAATTGATATTATCTATATTAAAATTTTTTAATAGAAGAAGGTATAGGTTTACTTGTAAGGTATGCTTCAGAATGAGTAGTTTCAGCAGAAGATAAATCAATATCTTCATCTTCATCATGCAATTTATGTTCTGCATTTAAAAACATAAGTGAATGTTCTGTTTTTTCATCATACATCAAATCTTCAATCCATTTTTTTGATATATAATTAATCATTTTAGCATTTGGACATTCAGCTGGATCTTCATTCCAACATTTTTCCATTAATTCTATATATCATTGAGGTGTGCCTTTATTAATTTTTGGTCTAAGTCCATTAAAAATATCAACAGCTAATTCTGAATCATATGCTCTATTAGCAAATGGTTTTTTTCCTGTTGAAATTACCCACATAATAATTCCAACACTATAAATATCTGACTTTAGTGTATATTGATATTTATTTATGACTTCAGACGAAATATATGGCATACACCATATGCTCCAGATGACAAGGTTTCATTTGCAAATCTGCATAATCCTAAATCTCCTAATCTAATAAATTGATATTTTGATGAATTATTATAAATTTCAGTTATTATAAGGTTTCCAGGATGAAGGTCACGATGTACAAATCCTTTACTATGAATGACGTTTAATCCTTGAATAAAAGAATTCAATAACCATAATCTTTCAATCCATGGTAAGGATTTATTTTGTTTAAGAAAATCTCTCAAATTTCCATTTTTCATATAATGTAAAACTATTGCATATTCTTTTGTCTTTGAATCTTGGGTTATACCCAAAATTGGTAAAACATATTTATTACGACATTGGAAATTTGCATTTAACTATTTTTACAAAATAAAAATTAAAATAAATATATTGCTTATTATAAAAACATATTGAAATATTGATATATTTACCTCTTTTAAAAATTCTGAACTAATTTCTTGTGAATTTTTAAGTTTTTTCAAGGCAACTTGATTTGATTTATAAAATTCAATTAACCATTCAGGCATATCTATCCATTCTACTTTCAAACACTGCCGAACGCCCCTTCAGCTAAATATTCTATATTTTTCAATTTTTTATAATCTATCCAACTCCATATTTCCCATTCATTTGCATTTTCATCTAATTGAGTCATTTGAATAATCTTGTCAACTTCATGGTTACCGCTAGTCCAATTTGACATTTCTATAAGTTTACAATTTGAACATGTAATATTTTTTTATAATCAAATCTCCACAGTTCTGGCATCAATACTTTAATTTATTTTGATTTTTTTTTGACGTTTGAAATTCCAAATTCATTTCTATAGAAATATTCAATGGAGATTTGTCCATATTTCTCTCCTCCTTCAGCTGATTTCAGGTATCACTGAAATGCTTTCTCTTCATCTTTTATAGTTCCAACCCGATTCGAATAACAAAATCATAGATATGTTGCCCTTGATGATTTTCTCCTTCAGCTGATTTCAGATACCACTGAAATACTTTCTCTTCATCTTTTATGGTTCCAATTCCATTTGAATAAAATACTCCAAGATTGTGTTTCCCTTGATGATTTTCTCCTTCAGCTGATTTCAGGTACCACTGAAATGCTTTTTCTTCATCTTTTATGGTCCAATCCCATTCTCATAACATAATGCAAGATTGAATTGTCCTGAATGATTTCCTCCTTCAGCTGATTTCAGGTACCACTTAAATGCTTTCTCTTCATCTTTTATGGTTCCAATCCCATTCCTATAACATAATGCAAGAAAGCATTGTCTTGAGTGGTTTCCCCCTTCAGTTAATTTCAAGCATTGACGGAATGCTTCCTCTTCAATATTTGTAGTCTTATTTTTCATTGGAATATATATTTTCCATTTACTTGATGATTTGTTCAATAATAAAATTTATTGAAATTAAAAGTTCTTTTTCTATTAAAAGTTTGAAATGGATTATATATTTTTAAATGTGATGAATAATTATGTTAAAAAGGGTTATGAGTAAATTAAAAAAAAAACTTTCAATTGAATATATTAATTTATTTCATATGAACAATAATATTCAATTTCTGAAGTTAATTCATAGATTTATAAATATTTAATTTTGTACGATTCATTCTATATTTCATATTATCGGGTTTCAGGTTGTTCCATTGTAACCATGCAGCTCATTATTCATGGATTCTAAAATAGAATTAAATTGACCGATCTTCATTGGTAGTACCAATGAATTTCTTTTTCGAATGATTAA